CCGAAGCAACCACACAAGGCAATATGCAGCCAAAAGAGTCACCTGCGAAGCCAAGTAACCCGATTTCGGATCATACAAACGCCATAAAAATCACCTGTGAAGCCTCATCAAACAAACAACCAAGACGAAACACTGCCCAAAGGGCCACATGTGAAGCCTCAGCAACCATATAACAAATCAAAAACTAAGCCAAAAGAGTCACCTGTGAAGCCTAAGCAACCCGCCGGCGCCGGCGTCCGGGTACATTATCGTTCGGAAGCTGTTTCCGAGCTCGATCGCCTGCCGCTGCCCGAGGTTCGTCAGCTCCCCTCCCCACTTGAGGATGAGCAGCAGCTGGCTCGCCCTCTCGGGTTTCCTCTTCTTCCCCTCCGTGCCCCCTTCCGTCCCGTCCTCCTCCCCCGTACCCTCCTCCGCCCCTTTTCTCAGGGTGTCTCCGCCGCCGCCGCCCCCGCTTCGCCTGGCCGCACCAGCACCCTTCGATATCGTGTCGTCCTTGTCTACCGACCGCCCCGCCGCCGCCGTCGCCTTAGTCGCGCCTACCGCCGCCGCTTTCTTCCCGGCGTTTTCCGGCTTTTTTCTGTGCCGCTGCTCCGGTTCTGGAGAGAGGGTGCTCTCGTCCACCTCCACCCACTTCCGCGGCTTGAGCTGCAGCTTGCGGTTGAACCCCGAGATCTCCCACCGCTCCAGCACGTGCTTGATCTGGGTAAGCTTCCCGAAGGTCTCCGCGTCTACCTCGGTGAACGTAGGCTCTGCCGGCTGCTGCTGCTGCTGCTGCTGCTGCTGCTGCTGCTGCTGCGGCGGCGGCGGCGGCGGCGGCGGCGGCTCCTGCGGCGTACCTATCGCCAACGCTGGCTTCGCTGTCGCGCCCGCCGCTGATCCTGACCCTTCTTCCGCCACCGCTGAGTCTTCTTTTGCTCTTCCCGTTGTTTCTCCCGTCCCACATGCTGCTGCTGCTACCTCTGCTGGTGCTGTTGCTGCTGATGCTGCTGCTGTTGCTGGTTCTGCTGACCATGCCACCGCCTTTTGTTCGGCGGTAGTTGCGGGAGTGGCCGCAGCCGAGGTAGGAGGGGGGACACCCACGGCCCCCCCAGCACCATCACCACCTGCGGGCCCCCCTGTCTTCGCCTTCTTCCGCTCTGGGGGCTGGCCGTTTGACGACGACGACGATGATGGCGTCGAGGCAATGCGCTGCATTTTTTGTTTGGGGGGGGGATACATCAAAGACGTAACGAGCACGAACCAGGCCAGAATGGTGGCACAGCAAAAGGGGGGGTGGGGAAGGCGGGGGCTATGGGATGTTCAACAACGGCTAAGGATCGAACGATGCTCTTCGATTCTTGCTTACACCAAGTGTGGAACAAGGCGTAGCAGCGGCTAGCCCACGGTAAACGGCATGATGGGTGTTCAGGACTTCCTCCTGGTTTCACCGCGGGCTGCGGTTTGAATACCAAGAACACACATCACGAAGAGTTACGAGACCAAGGCAAGGGATAAAAATTTCACAAGTAATCATTCTTGCGGGGAGTTGAACGTCATGGAAGTACATCTTTATATTCTGTTCCTTTTTTTCCTCCTCCAACGGTCTCACCAGGGTTTTGATGAGGTTGACCGTGATGCCGAGGAACTCCTTGAGGTGAAGCTTTCCCTTCACTTTGATCTCCTTTCGAGGACCTGTCACGCGAGCAGCAGCAGCAGTAGCAGCAGCAGCAGCAGCAGCAGCAGCAGCAGCAGCAGCAGCAGCAGCAGCCGCAGGGCCGCAAGAAACAGGCAGGAAAGACGGAAGAAACACGACATGAACGACATGACATGCCCGTAGAGAGGTATTGAGACAGCAGTGGGCAGCACCACCACTTGAAGAAGATCCTCCCACTTCACGGGAAGCACGGGCTCTCATTTTTTCTGCCAACCACACAAACAGCCGCGCCACGCTAGACCATGGTAAGGTATTAGAGCTGGGTTTTTCACTGGGCATCACCAGCTTGCGCTGTTGCAAATATCTCGAAAAAATATGAGGCCGCAAAGTGTTCACCGCCAGGTTCATACCGCGCGGCGCGTACGGTATGCACGCATAGAGAGGCGAGGGAGACAGAGAGAGAAAGAGAGACAGGGAACGAGTGCCAAAAAATATCGAGAACCCTTCCAACGTAACGAGCCCGACGAAATCTTACCGGATCAATGCATAGAGCATCACCTACTTGCGAAACGCGTTGACAAAACGGTGAGCGAAACGAACGACCCGCTTCGTGTGTAAACAAGTAAAAAATACCGAAAATGACACAAGACAACACACCTCCTGGACCAATTTTCAAATCTCGATTTCTCAAGAGCAGAAAGAGTCACAGCGCCGAAAACGGTGGCGTTGAAGCTGTCTCGTCGAGAGCCTTCCGAAAATATATTGTTTCGTTTCTGCATCCTCTTCGTCGTGGCGTAATCGAGCTTTCGAAATTGGTCCAGGGGGTGTCTTATCTTGTGACATACACGGTGTAACACCAGCGTCAGCCAGCCGCCGCTATACATCGTGCCGACAAACAACCCAACCTCTGCAACCATACGAACCTGGAGAGTACTTATTGTAGAACGCCAGGAACTCCGGGAAGCTGATCTTCATCTTCATCTTCTGCTTCGGGGTCCGGTCACCGTGCCGTGTGATGGCGATCACCGCCCGCAGTTCCTCCGGATGCTTCCGCTGGTGCTTCAGCAGCCTCCCTTCTCCCTGCACGTCACAACCAGGCGAGCACACGCTCGTGGGTGTACGAAAAAAAATGGCGTCGGTGGCGTTATCACCATGGTTCGACACACACACACACGTACGAATGCACGGCAGGCAGCGGCCTGGTAATCGAGGGGATATGCCGAACATCTTTCTTATCGTCTGATAGATCATCTCTAGAACAAAGGGACCGACATTCAGCAGTGAAGTTACCATCAGGTGCACACACACGGAATCCCCCCTCCCCCCCCCCCCCCCCCCCCCCCCCCCCCC